CCGCCGGCAGCCGCGGCGCCGCCGGCGGTTGGGGCAGCTCCTTAGCGGCTCGCTCGCGCGCGGACGAGGCGGGAATACGTGGCTACTGCTACAACATATGCCAGTCCTGGTGCGCGCGCGCGCATATGCGCACCTCTGTGATGGCGGGGTTGCGCAGCGCCGCCGCCAGTTCTGCATTGGCTGTGGCCCCGCTGACCTGCACCCTTGAGCTCGGCTGCGCCGCACCCAAACCTCCAGTGCGCGCGCGCGCAGGCGCTGGCGCGGCTGCATCCGCGCCGCTCGAGCCGAGTGCCGCGCCGGCCGGCTGCTGGTGCAGCGCGCGCCGCGGGCTAGGCGCGCCGGGTTGGCGCCAGATCTCGGCGCGCGGCCGCAGCTGCCTTGGCTCGCTGAGAGGCCGCGACTGCGCGGCCGCCAACAGGCACAGGAGCACGATACCGGGGATAAACCGACTCATGGGGCCCTAAAGGGTCGCTTGCGAAGCAACCCACATCGCTCGTAAAAGGGCCCAAAGCCACCGCCTCGTCGCGTTTGGTGAGCCTTGCGATCAATGTAAACTATTATCAAGTCGTCAACTACGCTTACAAGCTGAGAGGGACGCTGATTGACCCCAAGGGGCCCCGAAACGAGCGAGTTGCGCTGGCCGCTGGAAAATGCGTCATAGATGCCGGGGGCGGTGGCGCCAACCGGAAGCCCAGAGGCGCACTGGCAATACCGCTTGTGTGGTGCCGTGAATCTCCATGCTTTTATGACCAAAATGCACTGCCACGGCCACAATGTCGTCGACACAGCTGTGACGCATGCAGCTATGACGGTTCTCGCCGCGCGCTGTCAGCCCGGTAAACAGTGACCACGCGCGCCTGGCCACGTGCTGCGGCTGGCGCATGTGCTATACGCCGGCACTTTCCATAGAAGTATCAGCAGCAAATGGCCGGGAAGGGTTCAGGGTTCAGGATCGGAGGAAACGCTGGGCCTTCAGTGCATGTGGCACATGGGCTTGTGGTGGTGGGTTGCGTTGGACTCACGTGGGCAAACAAAAGTCACGTGAGGCTCAACATCTTGTACGGCCGACTACGACTCCTACGGTAGTTGAGGTATGCCTGTCTGGCAGTGATACCCTAATCGCTTTGAGCACACTGCTGCTTGCCACGTATGCTGTGTACATGTGCGGTTTCTCCAATGGGAACACTCCAGGCAGGCACCACACGGTAACCAGGTCTTCGTCACTGCATGCGCGAAATGGTGGAGTATCATATCATCTCGCTATGGTGTGCGGTGGTTGCAGCACACATATGCACTCGGGCAGCGCTCCTTGTTTCAGCGCTCCTGTCACCCTGGATCCTGGCACCCAATGCGGTTGGCACCACGCAAGCTTCAAAAAGCATCATACACGTCAGGCGCATGCATAGTGAAGGGCCAAGTGTTTGCATACGTACATATTGCACCGTACAACATGTTCCAGATCAAAACATAATAGGCATCTGCACTTTATTAATAGTAGAGTCGACAAAAAGGACGTAATTGTGAAAACCGCCTGGCAAACTACTGCTGCGTATAAGTCGCCAGAATGCAACGGGTTGGGGCGGCCAGGGCGCCGGGAGCAAGGTCGCCCTGCTGGGTGGCAGGGCGACAATGTCGTTGTTTAGGGGCCCGGCTGCAATCACGCCGCGCACACAGCTGCTCCCGTGGCGTCGCCGCGGACGGCGACCCGCACACCCGAGCACCCGAGGCGACGCACCTGCCGCTTCGCCTGCTGCTTGGCTGTGCCGTCGGCGCGGGCGTGCAGCTGGTCGGGACGCTGGATGCCCAGGCTGCGGGGCTTCTCGCTAGCAGGTGCAGGGGCAACCACCGCTTTGAAGTGCCGCCCACAGTCCTCACCTGGCCTGCACATCGTGTTGCCCCCACGCCTCCATGCGAGCGCCGCCGCGGCACGCGCGCCCGCCGCGCTCTGTGTCCCGTCGCCGGGCCCTCACACGCGCCGGAACCCCCGTGCGCCCGCGTCGCATATGGACGCAGCCCCTCTGCGCGCGTTTTGGTGTTTGACCGGGAGCGGATCGAGCAGCTTCTGGCGGATGAATTTCAGGCCAGGTACGCCTCTGAGGGCCTCTGGGTGTGTGGCAGTGGGGGAGGATGCATGTGCACGCACGTGTGCAAGGGCGCGGCACACGTGATTATGAATGAATGCATGGGCTGATGGCACACGTGCGTGCATGCATGCGTGCTTGCATGTGTGTTCTTTCCCTGGCATTCGCATGAGGTTCGGCGGCCGTGCATACGCCGCCGCATGCACACGTGCACGCGCGGACGCGGACGCAGCGGCAAGCTGCCATAAGGCTGCATCCGATGGCCAGCAGCTGCACCCTCCGCCAAGCCGCTGCGGCGCCGCCGTAGCGGCGCCGCCTGGCGGCGCCCCCTGGCTGCACACCCCCCCCACCCCACCCCTGCCACCTC